AGACGAGATCAACTCTAGGACATCCTGATGCTTCTTCTGTGAATATTGCTGCATGTCTGTTACGTCGCACAAGAGATGAGCATCCTGAACCTAGACGTGCATAGCGGTGAAATATTGTACTGCCAACAGATACACCGAACATACCTTGAACACTTCGAGCGCCTGTTCTAGTCCCGTTTGACAGCCCTTCAACAGCGTGCTCATTTCGCCTTGGCGGAAGAATTGCTTGATTCGGCTTTTCTCCTGCTGGGCTTCGACGAACGTGTGGATCTTGTGCAGCGTCCTGTGCAATCGGCGTCAATAAATAAAGTTGAAGGCGATACAAAGGAACCTTACTCCGTGAATCTTCCCAATTCACTCAACCTTGTTGGGGACAGTTCGCCGCCAGTAGCATCCGACGTGATGTAAAGAAGGATTATCGCGTAGAGGAGCTCGTGCAAGTGCTCCAGCATCCGGGTACACTCATCCCTGTTGTTCTTGACAGTCTGTCGAGCATAAGAACTCTGATTCGCCGAAGTTATGTCTATTGCACGAATTTACCTGCACCGCCGTCAACAGAGACCGCATCGTGTTGGAAATAGGTTCGAGGAACGGGGTCTTGAAGCTAGCAGAGACCACCGTGAGGGTAGCCAATGCAGCGTTCAGGGCGGCGCTGATATTGGTGGCGCGAGTCTGGGCAAGAGTGGATTGGAGAGGCATTTTGGCAGCGATAAAGCGATCAGGATTGCCTTCATTTAAGCCAGCTGAGATTTTAGTTCCGGATCAATTATATGTCTCCCGATCATCGCGGTGTTCCCGGGTGTTCCTTCTCATGCAATAGCCGACGGGATGCGTTGTACATCCAAAAATCGCAGGACTGTCCCGCCAGGACGTCCACCTACCATCGAGTATGACAGTCATGATCAGTGGTCTCCATTAGTCTTCATTGGCGCATACAGTACGGATCCGGGCGATCATATCACGATCATATATGCGTCAACAATTGTGATTAATTTCTCGAAGCTGTGCCGTGAGATCTGATACCAGTTGAGTCGCCGCGCGACTGGTGAGGAATGCATAGCTCTCGAAGCCTCTCGAGGACGGGACTGCCTGTATTACATCGTCGCGGCAGATTCAATCCAGAAGAAAGCCGGGCAGTCGTCAGTAAGTTGTAAAGACCCAGCGGCGCGGCGCGCGCACGGCACAATATTTGAACTCGAGTCAGTCAAGTGCGCGGCTGGCCCGAGTGCATCGGTAGAGAAAAGTACATGAGCAGAGGCGGCGAAGGTACGAGAAGTCATGACGAGGGGAAAAGGAGGAGGGCGATGACGGGGTGCAGAGCGAGCCAGTTGTCGTGTGCTTTGAGTGGGCTCAGGGCGCGAGATATGTCGTCGAATGAGCGCTCGGCGAGGGCATCACACACCTCTGCTATTGGACGCTGGACCGCCGCCGACGGCTTTCTCCATCTCCTCCGGAGCTATCGTACCGCCCCGCTCCTGCACCCCGTCTTTCTGCAGCAGCAAAGATACCGCCGAACGCGCGCAGGCAGTCCCGCGCGCGCACGACACCATTTTTACCGCCACGGCGCGGACAAGGCGCTAGTTACAACAGGCGTGTAGCGGCACCACAGCCACCGCCTGCAGCCAGGAAACGATGCGCGCAAAAGCCAGTCGGTCTCGGAGAGCGCGGGTGGGACACTCCGCAGGATTCTTGGCCCGCGGCCCCTTCTCTCCGGCACGAGGAGGGAGATGATTCGGGCCCGCGGGTGCGTCCCTGGCGTCAAATTCGAGGACGTTGATCGACGAGCGTCGAAGTAGCGCTGAGGCTGACCCTTCATCTCCTCCGCGCGCGGACGGCTCGGCGTTCGAGGACGTCGACAAGTCCGCGCGGCGTTTGTGCTGTCAGCTACTCGCGCGCGGGGACGGCTCCATGCAGCTCGGCGCCAGGGGCGCGCACCGTATCCACCACGCACAATGCGCGCCGCTGAAGAAAAATGACGCATGCGTGACACACCCAAGGAAGGGCAGACCTCAAGCGACGGCGCGCCCACACGCGACGAGACCCACCGGCGCTCTCTGCTAACCCGCCCCTGCATCTACCATCTGCACCCGCACGCGCGTCCGCCCACGGCGAATCCACCAGCTGCGCCCGGCCCCACCTTGCAATCTGCATCACGCGCCGATCACCCCAACGCCTCGCGCTGAGCGTCCCCGACGAGCACCTACGCCGTTACCTCCACCGCCTGCGCCTCCCCATGCCGTACACCCAGTCGTCCACAACGCGCCCCTCCACCGGCGCCGCGCGCACGGAGGGGGAGGCCTTCCGTGCCCTCCCCCCTCCGTGCGCGCTTACTATGCTCGGGCTTCACACCGGGCCCATACATGCACGCTGCGCCGTCCGTTACGCGCAGCGCGTCCCGTCCATGTAACCGGAAGGACGTGCAGGGCCAAAACGCGCGGGGCGGGGAAGCCTTCACGCGCACGTCCCAGCACGATACGGGCTTTCATCCACAACGCGTGTCCCCGCTGCCGCCGCCCCACACATGAGGAAGGATCAGCCGCGCGCACACCATCCCCACGCTCCACATCCGGCAGCGGCCCTTGCGCAAGAACGATGTGCGGCGGGGCGGGATGTGGGTTGTCTGGGCGACCGGTATCCCGTGCGGGTGCGTGATACGGTGACAGGGGGAAGCTGACGGGAGGAGAAGGGGCAGAAAGGAGGACTGCATAGATACGTAGAGCAGCAGCGCAGGAGGCTGGGAGAGAAGGGGGGTGAGAGGGGAAGGATGGAGGAGTGACATGGGGACGAAGGCTCGGCGTGAGTGAGCGAGGGCGAGTATCGCTGTAGTATCCCGTCCCACGTCCTACACCGGCGGGCAGTCTTTCCCGGAGCTGTTGGCGTTGGCGCTGGCGTCTCTTGCTTGCGGTGAGGAGGCGGACATGATGTGCGAGGTGCGGGGGTGGGTGGGCGCGAGCGAGGCCTGAGGAGGATCAGTACGGCGCTATGAGGAGAAAGAAAGATGGCGATGGCACACACCTCGTACTACGCGTTACCGGCGGGCGCATCCTCATCCTCTGTCGTCCGGTCCACGGTGTGCTGCCCCTTCGTGGCGGGGTGCGCGGCTAAAAGCCGACAACTAGTGTGCGCGGTCGCTTCTCGCGCAGGAGCGCGGTGTCGCGGAGGTGTCGTACTGTACATCGGCCTGCGGAGGTAGGTGTCAGGGGATGTGTGTAAGATGGTGATAGCACACACCTCGCACTACGCGTTTTCGGCGCGCTCATCCCATCTTCCGTCGTCCGCTGCACGATGTAATGCGCCTTCGTGGCGGCGTGCGAGAGCCGAGACCTGTGGCGCGCGCGGTCGCCTGTCGCGCAGGGGCACAGTGTCCGCGATGTGTGTCGGACATCGGCCGGCGGATCTACGTGTGAGAGTCGAGGCTCGATGAGGTGGCGAGCCGAAATCGCAGATACACAGGGAGACCTGGAAAGGAGTCAGGATGGCGAGCATGGGGTAGGAGGCAAGGGGGCGAGGGAAGTGGGATGTACGGAGGATGTGATGTGGATGTGGTGTGGGCGGCTGGGGCGGGATGGAATCCAGTGCCAAAAGAAGCGATATGCACGTCCAACGTCGCGCCTGCGGGTCGCTCTCTACACGGATTAGAGTGAGGGCCCTAAGGGAATGTACGGTCAGGAAACGTTGCGTGAAGAAAATTGACGCGGAGAGGGAGGAAAAGCGGCTCACAGAAAAGCTGGTCCCACCATCGTCCTCCACCGCCATTCCCGTTCAGCGTCACTTGCTTATTTCCATCCAGTACTGCGAGGTGAGCATCCTTCTGTGCATGCCGTCAGTCACGGTGCAATCCACGAGAAATGGATAGAAAGATACAAGGAAAGACGGCGCAATCCAAGCACTGCGAGAAAGAGGCCCGTTACACTTACAGCCTGTCTGCTAGGGAAACATAACTTCAAAGAAACTAACCAAAAACAAGAAGGTCGTCGTGAATCGCACAAGGGTCGTCTCGCATAGTCGTTTCTTCGTTTCCTGGACTACCAGTTTCCCGTTAATTCCAACCTAATTTCAGAGAATTCTAGGTTGCGGCTGTTGCCGTCGTCTATGCTCGGGGGCGAAGGTCCGAAGGATTTCCGTTGGCTGTGGCAGCGTAGTCAAAGCGTAGTCAAATGTCGAGCGCGTATGGGCTGCGCCGAGATGCCGACGATGCTCAAACACGACCATCTCAACCCATCCAGCAAACCATCACCGCGCTGAAACCGCGCTTCAAACGGCCAGATATTTCTTCACCGCGCTGAAAGAATCGCCATTTCCGCCGCAGTTGATTCGTCTGTAGTACTTACTTGTTCGGCGATCCTCGATGAACCGGAAGCCTGCTGCAACTTGGCTGGGAGCTTGCTTTGCATGCTACATTTTATCATACGACGCATCTATCATCCGCTTTGTTTATTTCCGTCACTCCCTCCCCCGGCCTCTTTCCACCCCTCTAATTCTCACCGTCTAGCTCGGCCCCGAATCTGCCACTGGTTAAGTTGAACTCGCGGGATAACGAATTGTGGATGTAGCCGCTGCGCACGGAGAGTAGGAAGCGCCTACATCGTATACATACTTAATACCATAGAAATCCATGGTTCAGTAGGAGCACTCGTTCGAATCGAGCCCGGGCCACAATCCTTGAACGTGGGCAGTGGCTCGATCAACCCAGCGACCCCTCGCAGACGTGGCTCGGCCGAGTCGTGTGGATCCCGAAAAGATTGATTTTTTTTGTCCCGGTACGAAATGTCTCCGTAAGTAAGATGGATGTTAACCGAGTTTTCAGGTAAGAGAGGAGGCTTGGTAGGCGGGTGTTCCGTACCTGCCCCAAATTCGTGGATCAGCGCTCAGCACCTGTTTAGCAGGAATGCTCGTTCGACTTGGGTCCGGGGCGTGGAACTTTGAGACGTTGTTTTCTGCCGTAAGGCAAGTGTGAGTTTCAGATGATATCCTAACCGAGTTGTCGGCCACAGCAGGACGGCCTGGTAGCGGAGGGTTTCGCGCCTGCACCATATAAATGTGCCAACTCGTTCCAGCAGGAGTGCTCGTTCAACTCGGGCCCGGGCCATGGACTGGGTGATACGCTGTTTTTGTGCGCAAACCCAAGTGCGAATTTCCTGACTGCGTTCTCGGATACAGGAGGCCCGGTGGGGAACGGTCTCGCGCTTCTTGGTTTTTTATAATCAGCAGGAATGCTCATTCGAATCGAGCAAGTTGGAGGAAGTCTCGTTTCTCTGGGCGAGTTAAGCTTGCTCAATTGTGGTGGATCTACCCAGGTTTAGGGAAGGCCCGGTAAGGGGGGACTCCGTACCTGCACCAAATTCTTAGAATACGCATCTGTTCAGGAGGAATACTCGTTCGACTCGAATCCGGGCCACTGATGTTGAAAAAATCGGCTTTTTTACCTCCCTGTACGAAATATCTCCGTAGGTAAGATGGATCCTAACCGGGTTTTCGGGTAAGAGTGGATGCTAGCGGACGGTTTCCGAACTTGCTGAATGATCGTGGATCTCCCTGGGTTGACAAAAATGGTTTGATAGCCCAGTAGCGGAAGTTCTTGCACTAAACTCTTGAACTGGTGGATATTTTTCAGCAGGAGTAATCGTTCTATTTGAGCTTGGCCATATACACCCGTCATTTTGTTTCTGCCTCGTGGCAGTTGCAATTGAATTACCGTCCTCCTAACGAAATTCGCCGGGAGGTTATAGAGGCCCGGCAGTGCGGGATAGTTTCCGCGCTTGCACTGATTCGCGCTCGCGTTACGGCGTTTATGTCTGCATGATTCGTTCGCACCTGCGACCGAATATGTTGTCTCATGAGTTATCAGTAGGAACCTCCTGGACCCGGGCCATTAAATTTTGATGATGTCGTTTTCTGCGGCAACGCAGATGTATTCAGATGACATCGTAACAATGCAGGTATGTCAGGATCGCTCTTGCACCGTATACTTAATGGAGGTGCAACTTGGTTTCAGCACGAATATCATTGGACCCCGAAACCTTCCGAGGGGGATTGCATAAAATCTCAGAGCCAGTTATTGAACAGGAGACATTAGGGATGTTCTCAGGAGAACTATGGTAAATTCCTGCTTAAATACAAACGAAATCTATAGCTATGAAACTATGGAAATAAATACTAAGAGACTGTAGGTAAAAGCATAGGTAAGTATCCGGGATACGACGGCGGTAGATAGACGGCAATGGAGACGGAACTTCCAAGCGGCAGTCGTCCCTTTTCACCAAAACCAGTGGCCGTCTAGAACAGTGCATGCGGATTCGTCACGTTCACCGGCCTCTCCTGGATGATATCCCAGTGTTCCACAATGCACGACCCGCCCCACAAATACACGTCCACCACCGCAGTCGGCTCGGGTAGGAACCCATCTATCCTGTAATGTACCCAACCCATCGGCGCCGCAAATGACTGGTGCAGGACCTGAATCTCGACGGCCGGGTTTGTGAACAGCGGCTCCACGAGATCGAAGGACGACACAAGTCCGTCGACCGCGTCAGGGTTGTGGTTGGTGAAGTTCTCGGTGAAGTGGGTATAGGCCTCATCGACCGTTCTGTCGAGGAATGATTAGGGAATGCGCGAAGACTCCTAACTCGAACGTAGCTGGGGGACTCCTTACCTTGCGACGTATAGTGAGTGGACGAAGGCGCTGAAAATCTCCTGCTGCCGGGCGGGAGTTACCGCGTGTGGGGTGCATGAACGGGGCGCCACTGGCGTCGCGATGGTGGTATAGGATGTGGTAGCCGCTGGGGTATTGGCCCGGCTGAAAACGGGCCCGGTGAGGGCTAAGATAAGGGCCAGTGCGCTGAGAACTGTAGTTGATACGCGCATTGTACTGTGATCGTGGTGTGCAATTGAAAAGAGAGCACTTTACATTCCTTTATATATTTTCGAGTGACTCACAGACCTTGCGTAGTATTACCATTGGGTCTCAGGTGCGGCAAGTGATGGAATTGTGGCTCCGCAGCAGTCCTGAGCTATGAAGCTGAAGTTCGAGCTCTAAAGTTAGATATTGCTTTATAAACTTTTGGAAAACGCGACAGGTTTCGACTACGCTTTACCAACGACCGAGTCAGTGAGATGACATGATCCGTCCTGTAGGCGCCATGAAGACAGGCAGTGCGCAGCTCGAGACTGAGGACATATGGCTGCAAAAGTGGAAGCGTTCGAGCACTCGTAGCCATCCGCCAGCGGTTCGTGATCTGCGTTTTAATCCGAGACACGGAATCTGGGGGCTCGTCTGTCTAGAATATCGTTCTTCTTTTCGGAGAGAGGGAGGGGAGGGGATTGGTAAATCCTGAAGTCTGAGATCATGACAGCACCGTAATCTCAATCCGGCTGAATAGCTCGTGTACGGGAGAAGATCAGTGCCTATGTCAGAAAGATATACTAAATGGCCTTAGTATAACTTGACGGCATGATCATGACATAATAAGGCGGCGTCCCGCCGTCGGTACCGTCCTACTGACTCGTACACGCGGGCCATTGCAGAGATGATGGGCTGTCTCTTCCGAGGGGCGGCGCGGCAGGATCTTTACCAACACTTCAAGTACCAAGCAGAACTCCAGCTCTTTCCCATCCAACATGGCGAGATTTACCCTCACCCCCGCGCACGTTACCGCTCTCCTCGACCCCAAGGCCAAATTGGCGCCGTTCCTGGCCGCCATTGATCCCGATGTACGGTGGGTCAGTGCATCCGAGAAAAAGGACGGTGCACGCATGACAGGCATCTACGTGAGTCTCCCTCATTTCTCATCGATCGGCGAACTAACTCCGTGGCGTGCACAGAACCTTGCGAGTTGGATAGCAGAGGTGGCCACGCCGATGCACACGAAGCTAACGGAAGAGGGCCTCAGGTTGACCATGTCGTCGCTTGACGTCGGTGGTCATATGAAGTTAATCGGATCACCCATACTCATTTATGCAACTGCAGGTGATTGGAAACAAAGCGATTGTGGAGGCATACGGCGAGGCGACCCAGCGGAACGGGCGCCCCTATAGTAGTGCTGTTCAAAGTTCCCACTATTTGACTTCCTGTTTGACTTCCTAGCGAAAAGGGACATATTTGAAACCCTAGGGTTGAGATTTTCGGACCAGGAAGCAAGTAGGAGAATGTTCCTGGTCTGAAATACTGCCAAATCTCAACCAGGAGAGCAAAAAGGAAGTCAAAAAGGGCTGTTTTTGATGAACAGGAGCACATGTAGCTCCTGATTCGACCCTACTTGTGTCCCTGCTTGTTCTCCTGGTTGCACCATCAACGCAAACAGGAACACAACCAGGAGCACAACTAGGAGCCCAAGTAGGGACCAACCAGGAGCTACTTTGAACGCCACTAATAATTGGTTTGTGAAAGATTTGTCCATCCTACTTGCCGGCGAATCTCAATTCCGTGCGCGGAGATAGATACGCCTGGTTCCTTATTTTTTCTGAAGAAACGGGGAAAATCATGGAGATTCGAGAGTACCTCGATACGGCGCTGGTCCACGAGGTCTGTCAGACAAATGCCGCGTAGGCCAGCACCCATGTTTTGCACTTGTGGCTTTCTCTCCAATCAAGGAGTAAAATTCACAGATCTTACACTGTATGTTAGGGACACGCATTATGTAAACGCGTTCTAATTCTGAACACAAATCCGGGTCTAGATCTGTGACGAACTACTAGTAAGCGCCCCGGGGAAGCTGGATGTAAATACCAGGTAAATGGAACACCATCGAATCTCATAGATTATTCTCGCAATATTTCCGACATGAGGAGATGATGAGTTGTCGAGTACATCTTGACTTCAAGCTGTTCCACTCCCGACGGTAAGTATAAATAATGGACTGCTGTTTTTTTGCTTCCGAAACGGCCCCACGGAGAGTCTGAGGTGCTTTATTTTGAGCTGAAGGCGAGCCCGCAGCAAAGTACACGAAACGGCAAACGAAAGAAATCGTTCCGTAAGTTGAACCAAAGTCGAACCAAATTACATAACACTGCCACACGGTGGCTGACCGTGACACGTGGCTCTTGACTTAGCTTGATCCACCTCGATTCACTCTCCACCTCCTACGACACTCGATCTGGCGCCCGATTCAACGCGTCTGGGGAGACGGCGTCTGTGGGACGAACTGCCTCTGATACAGGATCTCGAATGCTTGCCGCGGAGCGCTCTTTTAGCTGCAAATTTGAAATTTGAGGACCAGATTCAAACCAGATTCGGCTTCCGGTGTGGGTCTCCCCACAGCCTGCTTGTCAGCGAGGCCATTTCCGGACTGTTCCGCGATGCTAGAACGCAGGCCTACCAGAATAAACTCAACGGCTGAGCTGCGTGTCCTAGCGGTCGGACTTCAGACGGGAGCTGCATCTCGACTTTTGCGACTCCTGCGGTAGTCATCTGCAGATACATCCACCCGGTGTCTCCCGACCGGAAGCAGATCGACGTATCAGACGGACTGCCGGAAATTCATCAGCGGGAAGGCTTTGGCCGCGACAGCTAAGGCGCTTCGTCGGTTAAATACCTGGCTGGATGGTGTGGCACCAATCCAGGTCTTCTTCCCCATGAAATTGGACTACACCATCTACCCCACGAAATTCCCCGACTACTGGGGGTTTGTTCAGTCGCGGACGTATGGGACATGTGTATGTATGTTCTTTGTCTCCGATGGACACAGAGAACTTAGGTTTTTTGCGTTCGCAGGCAGAGATCCTGTTGTACGGTGCGTTGCATGCTGCGGAGGTTTCTTCGCGATCGACGCTTCCTTCTGCGCAGGAATCCTGCTCGTGCTGCTTTCCATTGCAGCGTATCTGCTGTACCAGCGGACGGGCGCGGGGCGGCGCAGCTTCGCGGCGGCGTTGGTGGTGATGGCCATCCTCGCTACGGCCCAAGTTAGTATCCACATCTGGGGCACCGTGCTGGCGTTCAAGATCGTGCGGCTCGCTACTGAGGGGGAGATGTGGCCGCATTCGCAGCGTGCGGTCGGCCTAACCAGATTGTTCGTCAAACTCTTCACGGTCGAGGACTTTCTCCTCGTCACGAACAAGTACGTCTGTGACTTCCCTCTGCGTGATTAATATTGA